GTATAGTCAATTTCCCCAGACGAAACCGCTATGCCATCCCAAGATATGCCTTAGTATAGTCAATTTCCCCAGACGAAACCGCTATGCCATCCCAAGATATGCCTTAGTATAGTCAATTTCCCCAGACGAAACCGCTATGCCATGCCAAGATATGCCTTAGTATAGTCAATTTCCCCAGACGAAACCGCTATGCCATGCCAAGATATGCCTTAGTATAGTCAATTTCCCCAGACGAAACCGCTATGCCATGCCAAGATATGCCTTAGTATAGTCAATTTCTCCAGACGGGGCCGCTATGCCATTCCAAGATATGCCTTAGTTTATTTAATTTCTCCAGACGGGGCCGCTATGCCATTCCAAGATATGCCTTAGTTTATTTAATTTCTCCAGACGGGGCCGCTATGCCATTCCAAGATATGCCTTAGTTTAGTCAATTTGCCTGGCCTGAACGGCTCTGGCGCCACAGGATATGCCTCAATATAGAGAAAATCCTGAGTAGGGCAGCCATGTCAACTCAAGATATTCCTCCAGTAAATACCATCAGTTTCTCTGGCTGGGACAGCTATGCCCAGGGTGGCATATCCGCACCATCCGGAGAAACTGATCGAACTGGGGCATATCTTACTAAGATAATCTTAGGGTGGCATACCTGCCTCCTCTGGAAGACTTGAGCTGTACTAAGCCATATTCTAGGTCGGCATACTTGCCCCATCTAGAGAAAGTGATTGAACTAGGGTATATTTAAGGGCGGCATACCTGCCCCATCTGCACAAATTGATTGAACTAAGGTATATTCAAGGGCGGAATATCTGCCCCATCTGGAGAAATTGATTGAACTAAGGTATACTCAAGGGCGGCATATCTGCCCCATCTGGAGACAGACCCTGGAAAGATGTAGACTCCCAAAGCCCTCGGGAGAAGTCGTCCTCCCTATAAAAGTGCCCATTACTACCCGATATTTCAACAGCGACAGCATTCTCTAGTCCACAGATTGGGGGATGAATGACACTTCCACGGCTTGGCAGTAGTACCGAATGATCTGAAACACACGGAGGAGCCTCGTTCTCTATTACATGGAAGGAAAGATAACAAAGGATGACGTGAGGATAGGATAGATAATGTAATGTCGCATTATCTCGCACAGAAGACCCTGCCGTTAGTACCTGTCACAAGTGCTGAACAGGTGACCTGCCCAGAATGTTGACGGAGGACTCCGATTGTAACCCAGCATCAACACAGATGGCCAGAAGACTTGATAAGCAGGTGGATGGTCCCTTCCAACGCAACAGTGTAAAGACTAGCCAAAGCCACACCAAAAGGCTGTACATGCTCAATCAAGAGCGCCACGTCGTTTCAGAATGATATGAAAGATAGGTGGTACTGCGCAGCATACCAAAATAATAATCGTCAAGAAGGTGATCCTTTTACACCGAAGGACTCGCTGCTTGGCCATCAACTCCTCCGCACTCAGACGGACCTGGACATGACACTCATTCAGTGTGACATCCACTGTGTGTCGTCCGCCAATATTACCGGCATTTCAATAGGCATTAAAACGCCATCGGGGAATCGGTGCTCGAGATGACCTGAAGATTTTCCCCATTCAGCAATACCGAAGAGCTCAACTCGATCTACCATTCTTGTTGATGACAACACTATTCTTGTCTAGAGCCCAGTGAATATTTCGCAGCTCGTTATCTCGTTCATGAATCAGAACCTTCAACTGATGGTATCTGACTCGAATTTACCCTATAGATTCCTGGTTCGTATCAGCACTTCTTGTAGTTATCTCCTTCCTCAGGGAAATAGCTCGAACTCGAGCCCTAAGAGGTCTGCATGGGCGCCAATAATACATACTCAGAGTTCACTACAGACAGAATCTTAGGCGTCGACCGACTGGCCGGGGATTTTGGCTTTTTCTTCTTCTTCCGCTGGGGGAATAAATTGAGCACATCTGATCAGAGAACAGGGTATACATCCATGCAAAGCTTTCCCGAACTTCAAGGGCATCTAACTAGGCCCAGGGAGCCAATCATACCCTACCATAGACTTCTTCTTCATCATCATCATCCTCCTCCTCATCATCATCCACCATGGAATCGGTATTGTGTTGTATCGACTCCGACGTGTAGTCCGCCATAGATTCCTCCATAGATTCCTCCATAGATTCCTCCATAGACTCCGACATGGATTTCTCGCTGGAATCCGACACATATTCCCACTGGTTCCCATGATTAGACCACTGAACCAACATAACATGAGCACCCCATAGCGGCAGCAGTAGCAGTTTACTACATCAAGTCCTCTCCATGTCGATGCGGGCTCATTCCACATGATGATAAGTCTATTTCTCCTTCGCGCTGATGTAGACCGGTGATTTCGCGCGCCCATAAAGACTTTCGACTTCAATTCCAGTGCTCGAATGCCTGAAAGATACCCAGGGCTTAACAACAGAGCTCCAAAGAAACCACGGCATGTGCTTGAGTGAGTGGACGAGTTTGCATCACACAAGCTTGATGCCTATTCTCATCGCCGTTTACGGAGTGTACAACTAGCATTGTGATTCTTAGTGTGCGAAGTCGTGGTTGCTTACCCTCTATTATTTGATACAACACGACCCGTTACCATGCCCGAGGCTGACACCACTAGGCTGCAACCCAAGAGAGTATCGCTGAAATGCTCAAGTACGTTACAAGCAATGGAATATCCTTACAATCATTATTACGTCTACGTTAATGAACGAAACGACTAATATACTATTCATCACCATTCTCATCATCATTATTCTCGCTATTGGATCGAGTCTCATCATTGGCCACCGGAGCCGTGGGTGAAAGATCGCTGCTGTCTCTCATCTCAGGAGCATCCCGAGCCTTCCTCAGTCGGCCATGGCCTTCAGTAAAGGTCTCTATCGGCTGTTCCTCGTCAACACTCATAGAGTCATCATCACCATCGTCGATATCAACGGCGTCTTCGCCTTCGGAAGCAGTAGTGTCGTCTGTATCAGTATCGCTGTCGTCATCAAACTCATCATCAATCTCTCGATCAGAGACCACAAAAGAGTCCAAAGAATCATCACTATCATCATCTTCTTCCTCATGCCGATGAATCCA